TGTCGTGTAGAGAATAAGTTTGTGATGCGGTGTTAGAGCATCTCCAGACGAACCCTCAAAAGTGCTTAACTCCTCAAAATATGCCCTTTTGATGAGTTAAGCCGCACCTAGCCGAACCCTCGGCCGGTTTAACTCCTCAAAAAAATTAGGTGGTTTGTCGTCGGTACTTCAAATTTGAGCGGTTGAAACAACTTCTCAGGAAAAAACCCTCTTGTATGGCACCTCCATATCGCTCGACACCCTCCACCTCGTTGTTGTCTACGCTGATTTCTTCCCCCTAGCGTCCACCGAGCACGCTCGCGGACCTCCCCGGCCAAGTTAGATTAGCTCCGCTACGACACCGCTACCAGAATCGGACCATATCTTTGCCGTCGTGCTCTCGAGGACGAAAATGACACTGCCAAGCTTTGTTTCATCCAAATCAGAACCGGCAGACCACCGAGATGGTGTACAACACATGTGGATGAGCTAGGCGGCGCCAAAATTGCAGCCACGCTGGGAAATTCTAAAAATTAGAGTTCGGTTGAGACGAGCTTGATCGGCGACGGGCGAGCATGGCTTGGAGGCGAGTCCTCTTCCTCTGAGCCCGCAGGCCATCCCCCAGCACCCATCATCCACCCGCAACCTCGCCGTCACCTCAAAGCCGCCGGTTGTGTCTGTCACCTTCTCCGCTCGTAAAGTGTTCGGTGAATTGCCTAGGTGCATTTTTTTGGCCTTTTCATTGTGTTTTACTGTTTTTGCAATCAAATTTCAATGTTGAATATTCCATAGTTTAGATGAAGAGGTTAAGGGAGATGTTCTTCTATGACTCTTTGTCAGAGAAGGAGGAGAAGACGATTATGATTTTGAAATGTCCATTGACGTAATCGTTCACAAGGACTTCTGGTGACCAAGACTAGGATCATAGTTCGCCCACTTGTACATCAATCAGTATAGAGCAGAAGGTCATGACAAGCTTATAAAGGATTACTTTGCACCCATTAACCTAGTCTGAGAAGTATTTTCGCATACTATTTCGGATGTACCGAATTCTCTTTCTCACCATTGCAAAAGTTGTTGAGGAGCATCATCAATGGTTTAAACTGAGGAGGAGTGCATCGGGAGAGATAAGTGCAAGCCCGCTGATAAAGTGTGTCATGGTTGTTCGAGTGCTTGCCCATGGGTGTTCAAACAACAACATTGATGACAATGTCTGCCCTAGGGAAGAATCAATCCTAGAGGGTGTCGGGAAGGTTTAGTTGAGGTTTTACATGGACTCCCTGAATGGGCCAGCCCATAATCACGCAGGTACACATACACCAGTTATTATTCATTTTTTTCATTTACAAAAAAAATTATAATTACATATATTCCAAAAAGCTTAATGTACTTAAGTATTTGAAAAATATTCACCGCAAATTTGAAAAATGTTAACACAGTGTAAATAATGTTGTTAGTGTAATGTCAAAAATGTATGCAAAAAATGTTCATGACATTTTAAAAACGTTCACGCGTTTCAGAAAAATATACATGACATTTTAAAATGCAAAAATAAGTTCCTGTAATTAAAACATAATTATGTTATATTTTAACATGCTTTACCAAAATATGCTTTTGACATTTTAAAAAATGTCTATACAATATTAAGAAATGTTTTCATAGATTAAAAATATACTTCAATGTGTATTTGAAAAATATTTAACACGTATTCAGAAAAGGGACAATTGCATTTTTACCCCTAGTTAGTTCCTACCCACGGGTTTTGCCCTTACTTTTCGAGGTTGCTCAGTTTTGCCCTTACTTTTTCCGTCGAGGTCCCTTGAATGCCCTTTGACTGTTTGACCAAAATTTTGAAAATTCATAACTAATTCATATGAACTCAGAAAAATGCAAATAAGATATCAAAATGTTCAGATAAACATTAGCTTTATGTGCATATCATTTGCATTCAGGACAAAAGCACCCTTTAAAATACCTAAGGTAATTAATGTTATTAACATTATTAAAAATAAAAAGGTATAAACAATATTTTTTTCATGAATAAAAATTACAAGCAAATGTAGGTGATGTTTCCTAAACATCCTGATATCTTATTTGCATTTTTCTGAGTTCGTATCAATTTGTTATGAAGTTTCCAAATAATGGTCAAAGTCGTTACAACATTCATAACAAGATGATACGAACTCAGAAAAATGCAAATAAGATATTTGGATGTTTAGAAAAAATCACCTACATTTGCATATAATTTTTATTCATGAAAAAATATTGCTTATACCTTTTTATTTTTAATAATGTTAATAATATTAATTACCTGAGGTAGTTTAAAGGGTGCTTTTGTCCTGAATGCAAATGATATGCACATAAAGGTAATGTTTATCTGAACATTTTGATATCTTATTTGCATTTTTCTGAGTTCATATGAATTAGTTATGAATTTTCAAAGTTTTGGTCAAACGGTCAAAGGGCATTCGAGGGACCTCGACTGAAAAAGTAAGGGCAAAACTGAGCAACCTCGAAAAGTAAGGGTAAAACCCGTGGGTAGGAACCAACTAGGGGTAAAAATGCAATTGTCCCTTCAGAAAATGCTCAAAAACATGTAGTTAAAAAGGTGTTGATCATGTATTTGAAAGATATTAAACATATATTTGAAAAATGCTAAACATGTATAAAAAAATGTGTGCACTTCTATTTGGGGAATAACTTCAGGTCAAAGTCTGGTGCAAATCGATTCGCAAAAAAACAAGTCTGGTGCAAATCTCACACAAAGCTGTTAAATTTGCGCTACTCCATGCGTTTCGCCAGAAGCCAACAGATTCAAAATATATTTATAAAACCCGATACTTTTCTTTAAAAATGAAACACAGAACAAAAGTTATAAGGTTCCGCATTACAGCAACACTGCCTGAGCAGCAAAAGGTGTAAGTAATCTGAGAACAACAGAAGCATTGGGGCGCAGGCCAACATTGATCATCATGCGTGAGAGAAGTTGAGTAGGCAATCTTCAGCAGCTGCCGGGTCACAGCAGTTGGATCTTCAGCAGGTACCAGATCGTTGGTAGTCCTCCTTTTCTTCAGCAGCAGGTGAGCGTTGTGACACTGGTCCCAGGTAGCTCAGCCTGCTTGTGGGCGGCAGGAATCTGCTTTTAGTTTCAGAACTTAACAGGCAGCTGTGTTCAGGTATGTGTAGTCGTTTTAAAAGGTTATCACGTGCCAGCAGTTTGTTATGGGAAAGTAATAACCAAGAAAAACATTTATGTATCCTAGGGGGAACTTGTAATTGCCAAACAGCAGGAATGAAGAAGAAATAACAGGAGAAATCCTGCTAAAGATGATGATAGCGTATAGAGATTGTCAAGTACAGGTCCCAGAGTTATCCAGCATCCGAACTAAGCTATCTTCTTCCTCGGTTAAGAATAAAGAAGAGGCAATGTCCACTATCTGAAACCATAGCTCCATGACCATAAGCCTGTCAGTGAAACCTCTCCTAAAAGAGAGCTTCAGGTGTAGCTGCTGCCCATCCCAATAAGCTCGGGAAACAACTGAAGTATCCACCTTTCAGTGAGGGGCATTGGTGGCCAAATCTCAGGAAGCCAATGGCCTGTATCTTACGCCAGCTTCAGCACTGCACATTAACTGAAACTGACGCAACATATCGTTCATTTCATGAACATAATTACCAAGGTTGTATCGAAAAAAATGTTACAGTAGCATATGACAAGATCCGCAAAACAGAAGAAGGAAAAAAAGGTTGAATCGCCAACAGCAGGATTCGACGACACACTGTTCATTACAAGACTCTGTATTTTAGTCGACACACTGTTCAGTACATGGACATCTTTTTATTGGAATTCATTAGGCATGAACATTTTACAAAGATTGCATCAACAAAATCTTACAGTCCCCGAAAAAAAACTTACAACAAAATCTTCAAAGTCTCTAACAAAGAGACAGTTGACAATAAATGTCCATTGCAAAAGGGAAAAAAAGGAAAAATGAATTAATCGTCGACAGCAGGATTCGAACCTGCGCAGGCAAAGCCCAACAGATTTCGAGTCTGTCTCCTTAACCACTCGGACATATCGACTTCGGTGCTAACACTCACTTAAGAGGCTATATCTAAGGATAGACTCGATGGCCCAGGTCCAAATGAATGCACGTATACCGGATTTCTACCACCATTTCCAGACGAGTGCCGCAAAATTGTACCTACTACGATAAAAATTTTTTTTGGAAAAACGTCGTCACAGTAACCGTCAGCGAACCACAATATTTACAGGATGGCATGCACCTTTTGCACCAAACTGGTTTAAATTTCTGCAACAAAGAGCCCAACTACTTGTGCACAGCCAGTAATGTTCGAATCACATGCTATGTTTGCTCATCATTTGCGCTACATGTTTGGTTAGGGCTTCTTATGATAAAAGGTTCTTTTCTGGAGAGAAGATGATAAAGGTTGGGACGGCTATGACCTCACCGAGCAATCCAAAGAAATTCTTCACAGGTTTCATGTAAGCGTAATAATGTATAATTACAGGTAAAGACTCGAAAAGGATTTGCACAGCTTACAGCCTAGACGACTTCATTGCTGGGTTAACAGTTACAAATCTGTGGTATTGCATTCACTGTCAACAGCTGCAATGGCTGCAGGTTTTTACATCTGTAAACGTATCATAAACACAGAAAAAGGCCGTGGGAAAAAAATCTACAGGGCAGTATGCACCGGCGAATACGGAGGGGAAACGAAGGGCACAAAAAGAATACAGCGAGCACACAAAAATAGGAAAAAGCTGGTCAGGCAGTTCTGCTTGGCACTGCTACTAGTATGACTGACACTACGACTTTGCGGGTCCTGTTGCACGGGCTGTTTAGGAGGAGGGCAATCTGTTAGCAGCGCCGCTAGCGGGCATCACCAAGTCGAGATTCAGATCCTCTGCACCGCCGCAAGGTTTATCATCCTTCCGGCTTGCCGAGAGAAATGATGGCCTGTAGGAGCAGAGGACTTCCGGTGGCAGGATCTCTATGTTACAGGTCCTTGACAACTTCAAGGTGGTTCCACAGCGACCATCCTGCGGGGTAGTTGAGCTGGGGAGGTTCCAAGGCGAAATTCCAGACCATGACCCGGTTGCAGTTATCTGGAAGGCCTTCTATTTGACGGTCGTTTTTAACAAGCTTCTCAACAAATCGTGACTCCTGCAATGACAGATAATCAGGTCAGTTACATGACTTCTGTTATCCATGTAAACTTTTATGAGTTATTTGTTGTATGGCTTCATATCAGATCACAAAAATAGCAATAATCCAGCATTTTCTTCGACATATACTACTGGCTATAGTTGCTTAAGATATCTTACGGATGGTTACAAGTTCTATTGATTTTGTCTTGATAGCAACTACTCCCTCCGTTCCATATTACTTGTCGCTGATTTAGTACAACTTTGTACTAAATTAGGGACAAGTAATATAGAACGGAGGGAGTATCATTTATTTTTCTAACCATCTTTTATGATATTTTATTTCATTACAGCATCACCCCCCACCCACCCCAAAATAGAATTGATAGGTGCTGGTTGCAGTTTGCTCCATGGAGATCTACAGATGGAAATTCAACTAGGCTGCAGTACGATTTTGCAGAAAGAAAGTTCCATCAAAACATAGTAATATGCTTGAATATATGAAGTTTGTATTAGGGAGAAACTCACCTGCAGACCACCTCTACCACCAGAGTGGACTATAACAGAATCCATAGCTGGGCGGTTCCACCTTTGAGGATCCCAGAGCATTGTACTGTTGAAAGCAAACCCAGAGAAACCAATTGGGAATCGACGAGGTGCACCCTTCTTCTGAATTGTGTTCCATCCAGTGATTCGGTTTCCTTTACATGTAGGCCCTTCTACAACCACCCTGTACTTACTTGCATCATGGTTCGCTACAGGCCATGCACCAACGCGCCTGCATAGAAAAGAACAAACTCATAAGAGAAAGAAAAATTACTACAGATTTCTTTGATCTGAAATCTCTGATAGGCAGTTTTAAGGCAACAAAGTCCATGATATTGTTTCACCTCCTAAACTAAATTCCTATTTCACAGGCTTTATCTTTGAATTCTACAGACAATATGTCTGTTCTCATAATAAAAGGGCTATTTGCAATCAGTACTTTTTCTCGCAAAATTGCCACCATGCTGCATAACTTCTCAAGTTTGAGCCCCCAATTTGGTAATATCATCAGTCATCACTAAGATAAACTGAAACAACAGATAATAGTACCCTGTAATATTCTTATGCCAGTGAAGACCACATTCAGGAACAGAACTGTTTGGAAATAATTGGCAAGGTACTGGCTGGAATCTGGAATCACCAATATTGTTTGCCATGAACAAAGAATCCATAGAAACCAAGAACCTCCCCATGGCTGGTTGTGTATCACTCATTTAGCAACGTGTCGGTAGGGAATGTTTTTGTGCCACTGGTACTCACTAGTATAGAACATACTTCTTATGTCCATTAAATTAAGCTAAATCCAAGTAAAGATGCATGGTTCTTGATCAGACAC